CCCTCGAGGGCCTGGAGCTGGGTCTGGTGCCCCAATGACATGCGCAGCGCTGTTTGTTTGGGGTTTAGGGTTTAGGGTTTGGGGGTTTAGATAGGGGTTCATGGTTTTGGGGTTTTGGGTTCTAGGGTGTTAGGGTTTAGGGTAGTAGGATGTAGGGTTGTTAAGGTCCAGTTTTATAACGTTTTGATTGAGCATGTGCTACACGAGTAGACTCAGATGTAGTCGTTTCCATAAGTACGGGGACTTAACATAGCCCCGTCCATATTCTATGTATATATATATGTATATGTACACATTCTAATCTCCATCAAAGAGAGTCCCGAAAAGGGCCCCCAAGTTTTGGAACCCGCCTATGTTTTTGCGTGTTTGGTTCTCCGGTGGTTCCATCTTTTCTTCGTTCCCGTCCTTGACAAACCATCCCATCTTCGACAGGTATGAAGGAGGGTGAGAATTTAGGGTCCAGGGCTCGAAGCAAATGGAAAAGACATGAAACTTGGAATGGAAGCTGGACATATCTAAAAGCAGGATTTTGGAGTTATAATCTGCGCAAGAAGGAATTTGACAAGCCCCACTCCAAAATTAGAACACAAAACATATCATACGACTATGATAGGGTCCCAATATCAGGGGTTGGGGTTGCCAATATCCTCCATTTCATGGCTGAAGATGCCGCCTGGATCTACAGTCATTCCGCAAGAAGCCGTCTTGTACTTTACATATATAGTCGGTCCTACTTCCTGAGTCACGAAACCCTAGGCCCTCCCAACCCTAAACCCTAAACCCCAACCCCTAAACCCTAAGCCCCACAGCCTAAACCCTAAAGCCTAAACCCCAAACCCTAAACCCCAAACTCCAAACCCTAAACCCTAAAGCTTATAATTCCAAAATCCTAAACCCTAAACCATAATGCCAAAACCCCAAACCCTAAAGCCGCTCAGCCCCGAGGCAACAACAAGCTCAAGGTCCTTAAGCCGGACCAAGTCATCGAACTGGGCCTGGTCCACCTCGGCCGTGTTTAGGGTCCCGGGTTTGGGGCTAAGGGTTTAGGGTTTATGGTTTAGGGTTTGGGGTTTAGGGTTTAGGGTTTAGGGTTTGGGGTTTAGGGTTTAGGGTTTGGGGCTTAGGGGCTGTGAGTGTGGAAGGCTTGAGGGTTTCTGGTTTGGCCGTCTTTCAAAGTGTATTTTTCATGCCCCGCTTCGGGCTGAGGGCGTAGGTTTCTTGATGGCTTGGGGCATTGTCGAGGGTGGCCTGTGGCCACAAGCATGGGTGTAGTGGAAAATTAGGGAAATTGCAACAACCTCGGCTGGCCTCACCCTGAAGTGTGGTTGCTATTGAAAGTTGTCCCAAGTTGTTAGAATTTGATGTTCTGAAAAGGAAGAGTTTGAGACATGGAGTTAGGATGGCGCTCGCTCCTAGACCACATTGCTCAGATATATTGTTTTTCTTTCTGTGGCTTTTAATATGCTTAGCATTTGTTCTTTTGGGTTCAGCCCCTCTCGAGTCAAAGGCGCTGAACGCTATAGAGCACCTGCAAGCAAACAGCATTCAAGCTTAGCCGACAGATTCGAGACGAGACATCTTTTTTACGGTCAGGGGTTTGCGTTGACGTGTTTACGAGCTCAAGGGCTTTGGGTGCAGCAGTTTCGGGTTGCGCTTGGTTTGTGTACGGGGGTCATGCAGGTCCCTTTCAGGGCTTTCTGACATCCAGCCATGTCTCCCGTTTGAAAAGGTATACGTCCTGTTAGTTGAGTGTGCTTTGTTTGTGACACGGAACATGCTGCATCCTGTTTTCTGGAAGTAGCGCAAGGCGAGCGCAAAGCAATAAGGTATCGCCCAGGCACAGGCAGGAAGAATTCTTTGGATGTGTGTGTGTGTGTGTTTTTTTTTCTCCTTGGCGAGGAGTGTAGTAGTGGAAGTGGTGCCCATCAACCAAGTGTCAAGTACCCTTTCTCCCACCGCCTTCCCCACTAATTCCATCTAAGCTTGCACCTTGGTATGTAATGTACCTGCCTGATCTCTGTATGTATGGTGGATACTAGAAATCCCTGCATGACCCGAAGTACCTTATACTTTGAGAATTATGGTATTGTAGCCTTGTAGTATAGTAAGGTCATGCAGGGTTTTTAAAGTGTGAACATTATGGCAGTATCACCGCGCACAGGGCTGAAATGTTTTAGAGGCGGGTTGCGCCCTAGACCTATCAGATAGCCAGGTGTTACCCTATAGTGTTGCATACTGATGATTATTGCCTGGCCTGGTGTGACCTAGATCCATCATGGCTCCTTGAAGCCATATCCCTACACAGAAAAGGGGTAATATTGGGGGGAACACTGGCACAGCAGCTTGCCATCGACTTACGAAGGTTGAAGCCTGAATGCCAAATTCCGAGCCCTTCTGAACTGAACCCAATATCCTACTCAAAGAAAGATAAGCTTGTCATAGGCTTGGTCCAGATCTGGACAAGATTGCCGATTCCATTAGAAGCAGAGCTATGTAGAGAGCTGCAGCATTTTGGGATGTCTGTGTTGAAGGATGCGCATGCATATGCGTTTCCTTGGCAATGTCTAGGATACAACGTACTTTGTTTTTTTGCATGTATGGCAGGAGGTTGCGGGTCGGTGAGCCGGAATGCAGTTGGATGGCTGTTGGTCATTTGGAAGCATGTGTACTCATGGTTCTTTGTTTCTGAGTTTACTGCGGACAAGGCATATCTTTTGCCTACCCGGAGATTTATCCAGCTGCTGGCGTTCAGTAAGAACTGTTCCACAAATGCAACATATGCTTCATGAGCATGAGGTCCCTGCAGTACTGAGCCCACCTCCAGTGAATCTTATGCCGGTAGTTCTCAAAACCATAGGCCCGCCACTGTTGGTGTCAGTAAATCAGCAACAAGCTCTTCAGAGCAGAAACATGGAGCCAAGCCTTTGGATAGTAGCTGTAGGATCCGTAAGCCCCAACTATGAGTATCCAAAGCCCGCCTATTCGCGGAAGGTTCGCGGAAGGCTCGCGGAAGCACTTTTTTATTTTCTTCGCGGAAGCTGACTTTTTGCTGCGTGTGCCGCATCTTCTGACGGAAGAGGCCAAATACGGGCTACGAATCAGGGTTCAGTCAACGATCAGCTAAGCAGATTACCGTAAATTTGACACGCCCTCGACTTCACTTACCTTTATCCAACTTGCTTGGCGTCCTTGACAGATGCTGGTGTGTGTGCATGCTGGCATGTCAGTAATCTAGGTTGACATTGCAGACGCATGCGCTACGGCTACTCTGTTTACATGACGGGCTGTGGAGATCATAGGCGCCATGGTGAGCGCAACCTCGCCTGTGCGTTCAATTAGGATGCCTGACTACTCCCTCATAACGGCTCATGATGCTGAATTTTCTACCGCGCATGGTGAGTGCCCCCACCTGCCATATTGAATTTCCACGTGGTTCCGGCATGCAAAGATACAGAATGCGCCCGCGACGCAATGTATGATTGCAACGCGGTTGAAAGAGAAGCAAGCGTGCACATGCAAGAGTGGGTAAAGTTGCAGATTGGGCGTTGATCTCTGGTTAACGACCACGCCCTCATTCACTTCACATGTTCTTTTGCGCAGAGAAGGTTTTCACGGTCCCAAATTTTATCGGAATTTAGTGGGCTGTCGAGCATGTTCCCATGCATGATACCACATGGGATCGCTACAGCAAGGATCTTGAAGTTCCCGTAGTGGATGTGGTTGGTCAAGCAGTTTTCCTATGCGAACAGTTCTTTTGAAGAATCATGTTGGCAAATGATAAAGATCATTCCTGCCCTGAACAGCCCCAATATTTTTCTGTTTAGTGTTGTCCTAGCTACGTAGTCGATTTCCATCGCGCCGCCGAATCCTGCAGCGGTGAGAGGTACACATTGTTGCAAAGTGCCCGTTGCACGTAACCTGTGCACATGCTTTGGACGTTGAACGCTGGGTTGCAATGGGATCTTAAGATGGTTTTGTTGTTCTTGGGGAGCCAACTAATTTGCCCTACCGCTGGCATCCATTGGCCGCTGTGCGGGACCAGCGTTTCAACTTGGCTCTAGGTATTCAGCTGGCTTGTAGCACAAGTCGGTCTGGTTTTGGGACAATGGTTGGCCGTATCCTTATATACAACCCCAGGTTTGCTGGAGTACGGTGCCCCCTTTTCGAACATAGGCTTCCGTGTTTGATATATTGCAAAACGTGCTGTCAATGGCTGTTGTCTCCTGATGACCTCACTTGATCTGCATACCAATTGCCAGGTGACGACGCGCGTTTGGAGTTTTTGGAGCTTTTTGCAACATTTCTGCTTTTCTATGGAGATGCATTAGTCAGCCTTTTGCCTTTTGCAGCCTGCCCACACACCCAGCTCCCATATTCCCGCCAGCTTGGATCCGGCAAGGCCACAGACCGTAGCTGAATTCAAGGTGTTTCCGCCAAACTAATCCCCAAAACCTCTTGTAACTTGCTCCATGCGAATCTTATGTAACCCCAACTGGTACTGTCTGTTTGGATGTTGTTAAGTCCCTGGCGCCAGAATGTATTGCCCGATGCAATGCAGATTTTCGCTGACCTTATTATTTGATTAGCTAATCTTCCCTAAGCTGCCCAAATCCCCAACACCACCAGATGAACCTGACCCCTGTCCCAACATCTCGATCTGTGCAATGTCAGGATGGACCCGCATCCAAAAGCTTGCCTTTGCCAGGTGAACAGAGAACAGAAGCTAGGTGCCCGTGTGGTGCCGACAAAGGTGTGGCGCCCAGGAGATCGTCTTGAGGTTCAGGTCGCTTCCGCATGACGGTCTGGACGACCTGGACGACAGGAATCTTGGTGCGGCCGTTAGCATGTGCAGCGTCTCAGTCACAAACCCTCAGGAGGACCTTTGTTTACTTTTACTTTTCTCGCAGATGTCTAAACCAGACTCAACCTTGCCTTGAGTTTCGGTACATGTCATCGACCATTTCCTTCTACATACTTCCACTGGCTGAGGCACCACGCGCATGCCGTCATGTGTACGCACCGCATCAAACCTTCCAAAGCGCTTGTGTCTTGCCAAGGTTCTGTACTTGAAGAACATAGTGACAGCAGAAGACCTTGCGGACGAGCAAGGGCACGCTACCCAGACCGCCAGAATCTGAAGTGGTGGGGTTCTATGCAGCTGGAGCCCACTGACATTTCCAATTCAAATTTGACAGCCCAAAGCCCTAGACTAAAAACTCCATTAAGGATTTTATGGAGACTTGCCTGTGGTTCATGGTAAACCTTTCCCGCTAATATTAAAAAGCTTCGCCTTCAAGTGTGTGTGTGTACTCCGTAATAGGATCCTATCGACATCCAATTGAAAGTGGCAACGCATTAATTATCCAGCATGCCGCATGAAAGGGCTCAGGGACAAGGGGTGAAGGTGAGATCATGCTTTTTGGCTACAGTTCCCCTTAAGTAGATAGAATATGGCTTTGGGGTATGTTATAATAAGATCCCCATATACCCCGTATTCCATCTACATATGGGGGACTATAGAGTAAGGAGCAATGGGAAGGTATTGACGCTTGATCTACAAGTATGAAAGTTTCCAAAAGAAATCTCCAAAGATTCCTGCACAGGGACCCATGTGTTTCCCTGAGGTTCCAAGCGCCCCTCACACTTTTTCAGAAACCTCCATATGAGCAATAGTCGAAACTCCTAGACCCTAAACCCTATATAAGCCCTTACATACCCCCTTTAAGGAGTTGAGACCCGAGGCCCTAAACCCTACATAATCCCCTACAGAGCCGCCTTTGAGGAGTTTAGACCAGACATTAAATCCTAAACCCTACATAATCCCCTATACGACCCTTTTTAAGGAGTTTAGACTATGGCTCATATGCGGGTTTGACCTACAACTATGATTCTCAACTTGTGCTTAAACTCTACATGAGCGAAAGTCTGAACCCGGACACTGGCCCCCAAAAAGGACAGCGTTGTATTTGGTCGCGGTCTAGAATAATCCTCAGGAAGGTGGCGTGGGGCGAAGACTTCTGGCTTATAGACTGATAGGATTAGGGCATTCAGAGCATGATGACGGATTGGAGCACCTGGAGTGGTATAGGGGATAGCCATGATAGCCATGATGTCATTTAGGTATGCCTCTATTGCGGGTCCTTGCTACCTTGCTTTTGACTCCCAGGCTACCAACTGGATTTAGGGTTTGGGGTTTAGGGATTCATCAGCTGGCCCACAAGTAAGCTTGTCAGCGAAAGCACGAGATTCTGTTGGTGCTTCATCGTGTCCTCAGTGTTACGAAAGGACGGTGACAAGTAGGGCATTTCCCCGAAACCCCAAGTAAATGTGACTAGCCAAATACAGTCACAAGGCGTATCGCTCTTCGTGTCCTTTTCCTTGGCAAGCATGTGGGGATTTCCAAGAACTTGGAGCCCTCCCCATACCCCCCAAATGTGTACGAACCCTCGTCCTGGACACCTTGCAAAAAAGCACCGCAAATTCTAGCAAACCCGAACCTAGACCCTATAGCCCCTAGACCTAACCCCTCTCAAATGAACCTCGGGGCTTTGGAAACTTCCGTATTTGAGCACAGGCATACGAAGTCTTTCAAACACACCCATGACACTGTGTGCTGTCCTCCCGCATAACTTACATGGAATTTCCAAAAAAAAAGTAAAGCCCTATGAGCACCACGCCGGTTGAAGTGATGCTCTGTCCCCTATATAGCTCCCTTTAAGGAGCCTAGACTCTAAACCCTAAACTCTATATGCTCCCCTTCATATAACTCCCTGTCAGGAGATCCCCATGTGTGGCCCTCTAAACCCCCGCTCCAACACCCTAAGAACCAAGGTGCAGGTTTAGGGTTTCAAGTTTTAGGTTTAGGGTTTTAAGTTTGGGGTTTAGGGTTTTAAGTTTGGGGTTTAGGGTTCAGGGGGATTTTACCCCTTAAGGGGGGTATATGTACCCCAATAATGGAGAATCAAATGGAAAAGAACATGGAAAATGAAATGGAGACAGGGTTTAGGGTTTAGAGCTGTAGGATCCCACGCCCAACATACCAAGGTTTGCAACTCAGAGGCTTAGATGTTTACATGTGCTCGTACAAACCTTTCTGGAGTCACTGAGATATCCCTGGCCTTTCTATATTCGCCGCATAGCCTTGTTTAAGCCGTCACCCAATATCATCCTTTATCCCAAACCCGCAACCGTAACAGCTGAATTTACTCAAGACTTAGGACCCTTTTTTGATGACTTGCTAGTCATACGAATCTGGCCCGAATGGTTGGGGTTTGGGTTGCCGAAGTCCCTTTATGATTCGTGCGAAAGCCTGTCGATGGGCTTGAACCCTACACCCTAGCCTGTGGAAGACCGCCACGGGAACAATAGCCCCCTGCCCTACTTTTAAAGCCCCCCCAATCCTCCTTAATGTTAAGCGTTCCCAATATAGTACAACACACCGCAATGGGATTTAAGATTTGGTGCATGGGCTTTAATGAGGGTCGACCCCGTCATCGCTGCCTAGTCAATCCATCCATACCAGGTAACCACAAAGGCGGTTTAGGGTTTAGGGTTTAGGGTCCATAAACCCTGAGAGAAAAGGCATAAACGCTAAGCCTTAAACCCCAAAACCTCAAATATCCAGCAGCGAGAAAAGGCGCGATAAGAAGCAACAATCCCATTTAGTAATAGGAATGGAAATAGTAATAGCAATAGTAGTAATAGTAACAGTAACAGTAATAGCAACAGTAATAGTAATAAGTAGCACAGGTATGCTGAGATCTGCGCAGACATTCGCCTCGAAGCCGAGAAGTTTGGCGCCGTGGTATCTATCGAGGCTTCTCAGCTCTTCACAGGAGTGTAGTCAAAGCATTGGCTTCAGGGAGGGATTGGGGCTATATTGAGATAGTGGAAAATAGAATGGAAACTACCATTTAGGGTGTAGGGTTCAGGTTTTAGGGTTATGGGTGGAAGCCCACAACAGGTGGTCAGCTTAGAGGAGGGTTAGTTCCACACACCTGGAATCAGAAGACCTCGAGACTTCAGGACTTGCAAGTGATGCGTTCAGGGTTTAGGGGTTTAGGGTTAGGATTTTGACAGGTTGTGTGTGCTTCATGACCCTCCAACATAAGACTGGATTTCGGGACTCTAAGCCCAAACCCCTAAAGCCGAAGCCCAAATTCCCAAAAAGGTTACCCCTTCAACGGGCTCGTGTGGAGGTTTGAGGGCCACCAGCGCCCTGTATCTGTTTTTGATGTCTGCTTCCGCAGAAGTATTGCAGCATGATTTTCAACATTCTTCCTTTGTCATCCCTACATTCTGCGGTATTCTATGGTATGACATACACCTAAACCTCTATCCTGATTAAGTTGGCCCCTACGTTGTCCCGTGTCAATTTGTTCGGGTTCATGTCGTGAAGGGTGACATATTAATTCATTCAACTTCTTTTCAACTATGTCAGTCTTCACAGTCTTCACGTAGCATGCTGCACCCTAAGCCCTAAGCTCCCTAAACCGTAAGCCCTAAGCCCCAAACCCTCAACTTTAGACTATTGCTCATTTGAATACTGTACGGGCATAGTATGGTTCGGGTGGCGGGCCTATGAATTTTGATTGCAAACCTTTTTACATGAGCAACCGAGCCTGGACAGCCAGGTCCTTTCAATTGAGCTTAGAACTACGAGCCAAATTTGTTTCGGTCCCCCCCATAAGATAGGGATCCGTATTTGCAAAATGATAATCCCTAAGCCCTAAGCCCTTCTCCCTAAACCCTAAACCCTAGACCCTGATCCCTATGCTAAACCGCAAACCGGACTTCCTAAACCCCTTTCCTCTAGACCTCAATCCCTAAAACTCTTTTTCCGAAACCCATTTCCCTTAAACCCTAATCCCTAGACACTTTTACCTAAACCTTGTTCCCTTCAGAGCCCTTTTCCTGAAACCGCATTCCCCTTAAAGCCCTATAGGCCCTAAACCGGTTTCCCCTAAAGAGCCCTAACCCGTAAACCCTTGGCCCTAAAAAGCCTAGTCCCTCGCCAGGTGCCCCGTGGTGGCGGTTCAGGCGCCGGTGGCCCTGGGGCCCTCAACAACGCGCTGCCCGCGCCAGCAGGTCCTGGGGCTTTCCGTAGGGTTTAGGGTTTAAGGTTTAAGGTTTAGGGTTTGCGGATTTAGGGTGTAGGGTTTATGGATTGGGGTTTAGGGATTAGGGTCTTCGGACTCATTAGCGTTTATGGTTTTTGGATTGAGGGTGTAGAATGTGAGGTTGGGGCTAGTGTTCAGGGTGTAGGCTTTGGGTTTTAGAGTGTGGGGTTGGGGGTTAAAGTTTAGGGTGCAGGGTGTGGGGTTTTTAGGGCGTAGCGCTGAGGATTGGGGGTTACGTGGGGCTTCAATGCTGTAAGTGGTACCCAGGCGATTTGGAGACCTAGGATTAGGAGTTCAGGGTCCCAGGTGTCGGGGTTATGGTATGGATGTAAGTACTGCTAGAGTCACACTTGTTTGTCAGATTGCTTGATGATTAAGGTTAAGGGGTTAGGCTACTGATTATCACTAAGCACTTCCTTCTTCGTTGCCGTACCATTATTCTTCTCTTTGTATGGTCAAGTACAACTCGGACGCAGGCTAGTCTCGCTTTAGGTTTGCGGGCTGAGTAGTCGTATCACCCTAAACCCTAAAGACGAAACTGTTTTCGAGTCTCAGGCTGAGGAATTAGGTTTGGGACTAAATACGATTGATGTGAGTCATATGAGCTATAGTCTAAACTCCTTAAAGGGGTTATATAGGGGATTATATAGGGGACTACTATAGCGGGTATTAAGGGGGATACTAGGAGTTTAGACTATGGCTCATATGCGGAATGGTCACCTTTATCACTTCTGGGCGGTGCTGAGCATTTTTTGACTTCGGTTATTGCTCAGGATGACTGACATGTTTGCTTGCTGGCGTATCACTGCCAACTAATACAAACTAATACAAGCTTCGGGCGCTGCATGGCTGCGCTTCTGGGCACTGACCCCATTCTATCCTTGCTCTGTTTTGAGGATGCCAGCGAGGAACATGATTGCTACATCATGTTGCTTTTGTAGGTAAGGCCTCGCGGTCCGACTAGGGCTTAGAGTCTAGGGTAGACCTGTTGTTGTGTCTGTTTCGCAGGTTGAAGGATTAGGTTTAGGAGGGCTAAAGGTCAACTCGTCAACCACCAGCCGCCACACGCTCGGGTGATTGCCCAAAGTCCGGGTCCCTTTTTGTACCACATCTTTGGTTAGGTGCGGAGACTCGTTGAGCCCATTACACGCGAACCTGTGATCCTTGACGCTCCAGCCTAAACGAAACCCTGAACCCCAAACCTTAAACCCTAAGCCCTAGACCCTGAGCCCTTAGCCCAAAACCCTAGACCCTGAGCCCTTTGCCCGAAAGCCTGGACCCTGAGCCCTAGGCCCTAAACCCTAGACCCTGAGCCCTAAACCCCAAACCCTAACTTATGGATAGACACCCATGGTTGATATGGGGTTTTCCAAACTTCGGGTTACTTTTCTGTGGGTTCCCTATAATTAATGAGGATCATAGTCTTTTGGGGTCTATATATGAAAGCTACTGTATATATATATACACATCGGTTTATATACACATATGGCTATATATACTAAAGAGCCTGCATCTATCCGGTTCTAGGACGGCGGAATTTTCTCCAGGAACCTTATTTCGAGGGATTGCACTCCATCCCCTACACCCAAAACCCCAAACCCTTAAACCCTTAAACCCTAAACCCCTAAACCCTATAAATCCTAAACCCAAAGCCCTAAGCACTTCAACCCAAAATCTTTTTCCTAAAGCCTCAAACCGCATGCCATCCACAGGTCCGCTGGCCCTGACGAACGCGCCCACCGAGGAGCCTAAGGCGCGAATCCAAGACCCTACGGGTTTAGGGTTTAGGGTTTAGGGTTCAGGGTCTAGGGTCTTAGGGTTTAGGGTTTAGGGTTGGGTACTGCCCCCCCCCCTCAGTAACAGTCTATATTAGGGGTCCTATTAAGGGCTATATATAACTGTATTATAAAAAGTTTAGGGTTT